AAAAAACCAATTTTATCATTTTTTAACTAACATGCATTTTTACTATTTACATGATATAATACTCGTACAAGAAGCGAACTTGAACAGATGCTTTTTAAGTTTTTAGCAACATTAACTACTGAATAAATTATATTTAACAAATGGTCATGCAGAAATGCAAATCAGCAATTCTAACATTTAATACAATTTAACTTATATACATTTAATATAATTTAACTTATTAATTTATTTAATATAATTTAACTTATTAATTTATTTAATTTTATTAAAAAAATATACATGAATACGTTTCTGCATTCACATGCAACCTAGCAACACATAGCTAGACACTTGCAACAAATATAACATAATCATAACAGAAATTTACATTTTTCTCTGTTAACTCTTCTTGAAACGTTAATCGCGCTGTGGTGATATTCCATGGATTTATTTTTCAGCCAAACAATTTTACGTTCCAAAAATTTGCACCTTCTCTATCTATCTAAGTTCTCTGGTACTATAAGCGCTTGTATATATGTATTTAATAGCTGATTTGTGCATCGCAACATTATTATTAGTGAGCAACATGTTGCTAAAAAGCGCTTTGAAGCACGCCAACAGCAACATATCCGCCGGAACCATGCAAATGCATAGCTGGATGTACATATGTATTTTCTATGAGAAATCTACTACGCTCAATTGTCAGCCGTCGTCGCTGTTGGTGATTGCAACGCCTGCAAAGGCGTTACACTGGGCGATGTGGCAGACGTGACCGATGGCGATGAAGGCTTTTGCATTTTGTTGCGAAAGTGACGATTCTCTGGATTTGCCAACACCGATTGTATGAATTCTGAAGTTTCCAGCTGCAGCTGCGCCAAACGGCGTTGCAACATTTGATTACGTTTCACCAGTTTGATGGTTTTTAGTGCGATTGCCAATAAGCCTTCGGTATTTTTAATCTCACATATGCTTGAATATGTATCGGAATCATGTTCGTCGTCATCACTAGCGGCGTAATATTGCTGCTGGTAATGTTTCGGGCTATGCTGATTGTTCGCAGAGGTCGTTGTTGTTGTTGATGTTGTTGTTGCTGTTTTGGGTGGCAGTGATTGTTTGTCATGCGGCGTGGGTACTGTGAATACTGTTTTAATGTTGTGGCTGCTGGTGTTGTTGTTGTTGTTGTGTCTATTGTAGCATTGCGCCCCACTTGTTATGGAATGTACTTCGCAGTCTTCTTCGTCGGTGATGTCATCGTCGAGATCCATTTGTTCGGCTGTGATGGCGCGCATCAATTTCAATCCTGTTGTGGTCGATGAGGAGACAACATTCTCGGATATTTGTTGATCACGCTCCAGCAGCTGCAGTCTATTTATGCGCAATGGCTCGAGGAAGGATTTTTCAGCCGTACCAGTATTGAGCCTACCGCGTACGCGCAGGGTTGTTGAGTTACGTGCGCTGCCCGCTGAAAGTAGAAGAAGAAAAGAGTTGTTGATTAGTTTGTAGAGAAATAAAAGAAATGCAAAATCTTAACGGTACATAAATTTTCAGATACATACACATATCTAAAAACCTTTATGTATTTAGTACCGACAACAATCGTAACTCCACATTGTTATGTGTGCGTACAATTTTTAACGGTCAATCAAACGTGCATATATCTCGAGAAGAGTCACAGGTGTCAATTATTGCATAATTTTAGGCACTGTCTAAGAAAGTAATTCGAAAACAATTTCTAGCAGGCCTAGTCTAAACAAATTACTGCTGTGCCTAAAAGTATACCACATAGCTATCTCATACTGTCAGTATTAACAGGGTAATTCTTGCAACTGTACAGTCTTTCGAAAGTGAATATTACTTCGTAATGCAATTCGTGGGCTTAATAAAAAATTGTCGTAAGCGTCATTTTGATGATTTTTAGTTATATTTGGAGTCACATATATTAAAATATGAACTCTCGATTTGTGCTATCAGTTTTTGGATATCTCTTTTAGTTTCCGAGATATGAACTAGACCGTATTCGGTAATTTTGTAAGAAATTAGTTAGTGAGGTAGTCCTAATAAGTTATTCAAGCTCTATAAAGTGGCGTTATCCATTTTTGGATACCTCTTTTAGTTACCGAGATGTTGAGTAAATAGTATACTTAATTTAGTACAAATTTGTATCACATTTTGTCGAATTTTATACGTAGTGGCTGACAAATTGTTGACATGTGGCGCCATTAGCGCACGCAAGGGGAGGATTTTGGGGTTCAAACCGCCCCTAAACCTTATAACCTGAAAGACAAACTGTATTCTAAAGCCGGCTCTCAAGCAAAATAACAAGAAATATTTTTTATTTAATAGCACTTTGCTTTTGCTGTAAATTTTCTTGAAGAAATAAATATACGAGCATTTTTTTCTTGTGAGATGCACTCTTATTTAAGAAATTTTGATAGAAGAAAATTTCTATTCCATTTCTTCTGCGTAATTTTATATGAATTTTTCATTTTTATTGAGAGCTCTTAAAAATTTAACTTCGAATGAAACCATTGCCCTAAAAATATGCAATGCATACTCACTGTTGTTTTTTACAACTTACAGCCTAAAAGAGTTTACCACTGATATGTACTTAACAAGGATTCGAAGATTTAATTTACCAACTTAAGATTCGTTCCACCAAAATTACCTAAATAATAAAAATTAAAGTCCATTTAATTTTTGCCCAAAAATCACCACATCAATCAAAACCCAGAAACCAGAAATTGAGGAAAATGAACATTAAAACAATTTTTTTAAATTTTTTTATTACTTTTGAAAGTTAAGCGCATCTTGTGTTTATAGAACTTTATATTAAACAAGTAATTTTCATATTACAGGACGACCCTTGAGGTACCATCTTTCCGATTAAAAAAAATTGTTGAGATTGGTTCACGTGGTTCAAAGTTATGCGGTAGCATACATAAAAAAGAAAAAAAATATTCCGACGAATTGACAACCTCTCCCTTTTTCGAAGTCGGTTACAAATGTTTGAGTTCTTTGCTAATTTTATGTAAATAAAGTGCAATTTACGAAAAAACTTGCATAAATGTACCTTAAAGAGCATATTATCTGAAGCGAACTTTCAGAAGTATAAACCCCCCCCCCCAAAATATTTTCCTGGGTGCGCCCCTGTATGGCGCATACAAAAAAATGTTGCTAAAACAAATCCTTCATGAACTCAAAGCTAATTAACAATGAACAAATTAAATTAAATAATCATCAGCACCTGGGTTCAAGCCCTGGTCAAAGCAACATCGCAAAATATATAGAAAAAGGTTTTTTCTTAACAGCGGTCGTCCCTCGGCAGGCAATGGCAAACCTACGAGTGTATTTCTGCCATGAAAAACAGCTTCTCATAAAAATACAATCGCCGTTCGGAGTCGGCGTAAAACTGTAGGTCCCTACGCTTTGTGTGACAACATCAAGGCGCCCGCCACAAATCGGAGGAGAAGCTCGGCCAAACACTAACATATGTGTAAGCGCCAATCTATTATTATTATTAATAATTTAAGAATTTTGTGAACTAGTAGATAATATTCTCCGAGACTTTTGCGAAAATCTATCTTCGCGTTATTGAGAAATTGCATTCCAAACATTAATCGGGATTTCCCAAAACTTCCCAAAAATAGCATACGAAAATCTTTTACCCAGGCGGCGAGCCGTCAATTCTGGTAACCATTTTGAAAGTTCTTTACTGCCTTTCGAAAGCCAATTGTGGAGGTCTTAGCGTTATGCAATTTTTTTTTTATTACATACATCCAATTAAAAAAAATATATATTTGTTTTTATTTTTTAAAGCAATAAAAACTAATAAATAAAATAAAAATAAAGCAAAACTTAGTAAAAATATGTTTAAAATTAAAGTGATATCAAAAAAAAAATATTTTTTCTCCTTTCTAAAAATTTTAAGAAAATAAAATTTAAAAAACACCAAAGAAAAAATAATAAAATGAGATTAAATTTTAATTAATTTAAAAATATGTATATATTTTTCTTTTTAAAACAATAAAATATAAAACCAAATAGAAAATTCAATTGGAAAAATATTTAATCAGAAATAGAAACAAGTAATTTTTGAATAAGAAACAAAACCGCCTTCAAATCTCATATAAAAATTTAAGATTATCGCTAATTTCTTCATGTGAGGTAACACCTTTCCCTTAAAAAAAGAATTATAGAAATCGGTTAACGTGGTCCAAAGATATGCGGTAACATACATTTTGTGAAGTCGGTTAAAAAATAAAATACGTTTTGTAAAAATTTAAAGAAATAGAAAACAAATATTTTTCTCTTCAAAACAATCAACAAAAATATAGGACCGGTTTCTAAAAAGTAAATGAAAGTTAAAAAATGTGTACTTTTTTGAGAGAATGACGAAATATCTGCGACCTTTCGCTATAAAAAACATATGTTTACTCACTAGGTATCTATATACATATATATATCATTACCATTTTAATTTGCCTGTTTCTGTTTGCAAAGGCGAGATACCGACTTTGTCTTAGAAATCATCAGGCCTCGGTGCGTGTGCTAAGTTTTTTTTACCACTGTCAATCCTCTTAGAATTAGGAAGTCGTTTACCGAGGAGGGCTTTAAGGGTTGGGAATTCATCAGCGGGATACACAAGATATTTTAAATAGCAGTGTCCATAGTTCTGCCAAACTTGTATACTTTTAAACACTCTGACAACTTTTTTAGTTAGTTTATTTTTAATAGCATGTCTATAATCAAAAAAAAACCGCACAAGGCAAGCGAATGAGCAATTCAATGAAATGTATAAGATTTCCATGCGCAAAAAAGAAAGTATTAAAACATTTGCCTACTCAATACTTTACATAAGCTTCGCTCACTCACGTTTTGTGGCCAACCGCCCAGCGCAAACTCATCACCCAGTTATTGAATTGTTCGCGGCACGAGTGCAACAACGCGGAATATGGGTCACACAGCGCTAAATCTGTCAATTACGTGCGCCACGGCAGCGTTGCATTTAATTAGCAATATCACGGCAGATAATCACAAAAAAAAGACGCGCTAACCGTCGTTTGCCACCAGCACTTATCGCATGCATACTTAACCCACAGTAATAATGAACTCGCTTAACAGCTCATGATGCTCAAGTCCATGCATTGACAATAATGTGTAAATTGTATACTTATTTGTACTACGTTTATATACATACATATATGTATGTATATGCACATCTACTTATAAGTATGTGAGTATGTAAAATATGTCCGCCGCATGTGTTTTCCGACGGCCGGACAGACAATGTGCGCGTCAAAAACGTGACCACACCAGAAACCACGGCGACATAGCTGGCTTGCTGGTTGGCTCGTTGGTGGGTCAGTTAAATCCGCACAGAACCCGTGAGTGAACAAAAGCCATGACCATGGACAGCCAACGGTAACTAGCTAGTTGGTTGTGGGTCAAGCAAGTGAATACGGCCATGTTTGTATGTATGCGCATGTATGTACATACTAGAGTCCAGCGCAATTGTATTTGCCGCATTTCATTCAATAAGTACTCCTTGCATTGTACTCTACTCCCAACACATTGTTACTTTTTTTCCGCATACATACACTACTTGGCGTTGAGAGTAGAGCTGTCAAACTATCGATAGTCAAGTCCATCGATGTTTTACGATAGTCTTAAGGGTGACTATCGATACTATCGATAGTATCGACCCATTTCAAATGTTTTTCTAAATCCATTTATTTTTCGTTATCTTGCTTTTATAAATTTGTTTATTTTAGCGGTTCACGGTTGCATTTAAATATCGAGAAATATTGCTAGAAATTCATTCGTGTAAACAGTCAAAAAGCGATTTCAGAAATTCTCGCTACAATTCGCCTTTCAGGGAAAAAAAAATCTTTCGAAAGACACTTTACATGCAAGGTGCCACTGCTCATGCAACAGCTTTCTGCAATTTCTCAATTTGACAGTCTTTTGAAATATACTGCATTGCTCGGTCTAAGACGGCAATATAACCTCTGCTATTTGCACGCTTAAAATAAAAAATAGCGCTTTTAGAAATGATGCCATGAACCACTTAACAGATCACCCAGCACGGCAACCGCGTATTTGTAATTGCATTTGAGAAAGAAAATAATAGTTGGTAACGTCATTTTTTATTAGGTTGTTTCATTCACACAGATTGTTTCATTCCGTTTCATTCACATGGCGGCGAAAAAATTACGCACTGCACAAAAAAAATAAAAATATTTTTTCTCGCACACCGTCCTGGGTGATCTTTATTCGTTCGTTCATGAAATAATGCTGCCAATTTTTGTTCTCTTTGAGCCATGAAAGAGAATACGCTATCAATGAAACGATAGTGGCGATAGTATTAAAACTATCGATAGTTATTTCAAGTGATCAGACTATCGATACTATCGATAGTATCGGCGATAGTTTGACAGCTCTAGTTGAGAGAGTAAATACTTGACGTACTTGCTATTACTCACGTATCTATGCACATATGTATGTATCTATGCACATACGTATCTATGCACATACATACATATGTACTTAGGTATGTATATCAGCATTTTAGTTGAAAGTACGTTTTGCTCGTCGCTCTCTTCATCGCTCC